TAGTAATAAAGATAAATGAATAAATAAATAAATTATTTATTATTATTACCAGTATCGCTCGTACCACAAATAGCACTGCCCAAAGTTGTGCTCGTAATCTCCGGCTCGAGAGCACTCTTTTTTCTTCTCTTCATGCCTAGATCTCTTCGTTTCTTACGGTATTTCACCTCGTTTCCTTCTCTAACTCTCTTCTTCGCAGCAGTCGCCACACTCCCATAATTACTATCACCACCCTCGTCGTCGTCATCCTCATCGACGACGTTGTTATCCTTAAAAATATCAAATTTTCACAGGTATACTAAAAATTATAGTATTTAAATAATAAACAATAAAATATAAATAATAATAAATAACAACAACAACAAATAATAATAAATAATAATAACAATAAATAATAAACAACAATAACAATAAATAATACCTCCTGTACGCTCTTCGCCTGTTGCGCCTGCTGCCTCAAGCGTGCCAGTATCTGCCTGGCCTTGAGAATGCCCTTGGTCTCGGATGACGACGACTGCTTACTCTGATCCTGCCTGCTCCTGCCGCCGTCACGATCGCCTCCCTCTTCTTCGGATGATGACGAGTTGGCATCCTTTATTTTATGACTATTGTAAATTACTCTTACTCGTACATCGAGTGCTTGTTTTGTAAGTAATCGTTGTGAGGAGCGATCGACGGACTATTTATTTTATGATTACTTATTGGATTGATAGGTATTTGGCTACGACGTTTAATTATGCGAAGTATTCACGACGACTAATTAATTACTCGGTTGTGTTCGGTTAGCCTGCTCGCCTAGCCAGCGGGTGGCGTGGATTGAGGCTAGAACAATGTGTACAAAACGTGAGCATTGTGGCCAGTAGCAACGTTATAAACGTTTGATGCCTGGCCAATCCAGGTAATGCAGGTAAATAATAACAATAATAATAGTAATAACAAAGAATAATAAATAAAAATGCAAATGCACCTCAGCCGTCTTCGACTGCACCACAACCTTCCGCATTCGTGCCAAGATCTCAGATGCCCTCGAGATCGCTCTATCTTTCGCCACCCGTGGCTCTGCCCTCTTGCCTTTCTCTTTCGGTGTTATTTTCACCGCTGCCTTCACCTACAATCAACCCACGCAACAATTACCTCACCTCAAGCTGATAAAAAAAAACTGATATCATTATCATTATCACTAGCCTTATCATTAACGTTATCACTAACCTTATCATTAACGTTATCACTAACCTTATCATTAACATTATCACCCTCGTTATCACTGCCACTGTCACTTGCGCTGCTACTGCTACTGCTATCCTCTTCGCCCTCCTTCTGTTGTTTTTGACGTGCCAATGCCGCATCTTTCATTTTGGCCAGGATCTGCGTTGCACGCAATTTACCTCGTAACAACTTCAGTGGCCCACTAGCTGCACAGTTCGTATCCGTACCCGTACCCATAGGCGTACCCGTACCCGTACCCGTACCCATAGCCTTACCCTCACCATCTGTCGCCTCCAGGCCTGTCGCACCACCACCACCACTACTACCTGATGCTGCTACATTGGCTGCTGCTCCTCGCTGACCTTGTGCACGTTGATAATTCCGCTTTAAGAGTTCATTACTGGATGTCGACACGCTGCCATAACCCTCAGCTACTGCTGCCGTTGATTCTACAGCTTCAGCTCCTCGTTCAGCACTACTTTGCTGTGTACATGCCGCCAGTCTAGACGGCCCTCTTGCCGACGATGCTCCTTCTGCTTCACCAACACCCATTTTCACCTAAAAATTACAAAACACATTAAAAAACAACTACTATTTTCATCGCAATCAATTAATAATAACAGCAATTACAATAACAATAATCACAACTAGATAACAGATACAAGCCTAAGCCGAATCATAGCCTGCTGCTGCTGCTGCTGGCTCAGGTTTACAACATTATTGATATTGGTACACAGAGCACTCGGTTTAGAGCAAAACTTTGAACTGAACGCTCGGTACGATCTCGGCGATAGCTTCAAAACCCAAAATAATTTCACTACCTACCTCAAAAGGTCTCGCCAGCTGCTGCATATCGTTTCTGTGTTCATCTAATGAGGTATTTATTATTGAAGCATGATCATTCACTTGATCAGCTGGCATCAGTAGTTGATCAGTTGAAGCATGATCAGTAGTTGGCAGTATATTGTGCATTCGATCTGAGCCGTTCTCGTCTTCATTATTAGTCTTATCATTACTGTTATCATTATCGTTAATGTTATCAGTTCTTTTGCTGTGTAACTGCCTTAACTGTGCCAGCAACAACCTAGTTGCTGTATCATTCCCACTGATAAGGGCGGCAGTCTTATCAGTGGCTTTGCTCGTTGTCTTATCACCATTGTCAGTCGAGTCGTTATCACTCGACGAATCCGAACTGCTCGATGAGCTGCTGCTGTCATCGCTATCGCTGTCGCTATCGTCGCTGCTACTCGAACTCGAACTTGACGATATCGAATTCAAACTCCTCAATATATCACTTGCACGAATCACTAAATCATCCTGGCCACTGCCAATCGTCCCTGAACAATCTATTACAATAAATATAATAACAATAAATACAATAATAATAATAATAATAATAATAATAATAATAAATACAATAACACAATAACACCAAAAAGCAAACCTGCGCCCGCAGCAGCAGCAGCCACAAGTGGAGCGATCCTACCCTCGCCAACACTCGCAGCGCTATTACTATGAATTCCGGCATCTGTCGTTACATTCACATCTTTTATTATAACACTTCAATGACTATTTTCTCACATCAATAATAATAACAATATCAATAATAATAATAATAATAATAATAATAATGATAACCTTGATCAATATAATAACAAAGCAACGAAATTCTACACAAATTTTCATTAACACTAGTTGAATTAATTGACTCACCACCAAGTTGTGCTCCAACTGCTGCAACTCCAGCTCCGACTCCGACCCCAGCTCCAGCTCCAGTACCAACACTAGAAGAGTCCAATTCCCTCAAGACGGTCTCTTTGCGGTATACGACGGGTGCTGATGAAAGACTTGTGCCTGCACTGGACGCCGACCTTGACCTCATCCAGCCCACTGTCGAGGATGAGGTCGACGATGACGACGAATCCGATGAGGTCAATGAAAATGGATCAGCTAGCAGTTTATCCAATACCTGAACAATACAACAACAAATAATAACAACACCATCACAAAACAATACCTACCTCCACAATATTTGTCGTAATCGCCCTCGAGATCAACGGCTTCACCAGGTCATTCTCACTCTGCGATGGCTTCAACGCGTTTCTTGTGTACTGCTGATGTATCGAGATGATACCATACGGAGGCAACGATGAGCTACGTTTCAACAATCCATTTGCAGTGCTCTTATCACCACCCAAATTCAAACCGTTCACGCTATCTCCAGCTGCAGCAGCAGCAGCAGTAATAGCAGTGGAACGTAAATAAAAACGCTCTGTAGTGATTCTTTGAGTAAACTTCCTTGACCTTGCCCAGATACGCTCTCGATACTCCCTAAAACGAGGCTTAGGCTGCTGTTGCTGCTGGGCACTGCTACCCATGCCGCCTAAATCCATGTCACATGTCGTCCCAGTTGCCAGCATACTCAGCCGCTCTGAACCATACCCAGACCCAGGTGCAAAATCATTTGCCATGCTGCCGCCACATTCCGTAAGACTTCCTCTTTGAATGTCGTCTCTTTCAGTCGCCACTACTCCTCTTACTTCTTCTGTATCTGTACCAGTAGTCTTATCTCGATTCGTTATCACCATCGTATCACCACCCTTATCACTACTATCACTCATATTTCGCGTTGATAACACCGCATCATCAATATCTTCCTGGTGATTCGCCGCCTCTGAAATCAATCTCCCTAACACCGTCCAATTCACAAAACCAAATAAAAGTGCTCATGTCCTATCGAATAAAACATTGAATCAATCATTTTATCGCCGATACTCCAGCAGCACAATGCAGTCAGCTTTAATCTAAACCTAAACTGCTGCTGCCAACCCTTCTACCGAATCAGTCGCTACACTTCCTTCAAACAACTCTTAAATTCAAATAAACTCAACTCAATTCAAACCCAACTCAACCACACCAACACCTAAACTCAAACCTCAACTTTTACTATCAAAACTAGAGTGCTACTTCAAAATTCCTTCACAAAAAAATCTACTAACCTTGCTCAGCCACTCGCTCACTACTATTCATACCCCTGCCGCTATGCAGCACTCCAGTACTTTCTTGTGCCATCGGACTGTTGCTGCTTTGCTGTTTTGATTGCTGTCTAGCATCTTCATTGCCATGTGCATGTCCATCCCGATCCCGATCCCCTTCACCACAACTATTACTCATCATTTCGAGGTGATTCTGTTGCAGCACTCCACCCGAATTCGTTTCAAAACTCGTCGAAGCCACCCCTTCATCAACCGACAACGACGAATCCAACCTATCATCCACTGTACAAATCTTATCACCACCCTCATTACCATTGATATCATTATCATTATCAGTGACTCTCCTCCTTCGTCTCCTTCTTCTCGTACCTACAATACCACCAGCACTTTCCTCTCCGATCCGATCTCGATCTCGATCACCAGATCGCCTCTGCTCTCCAGCCTGACCATCAGCCACCACATTCCCACCAACCAGCATCTGTTCATCGCACCCCTCATCAACATTCACCATCTGATCCTCGGCCTGCTCTTCAGCACTCTGTTGTCTCAATTTTCGTCGTCTCACTCTGCTCTTCGCATCAGCAGTCTCCTCTATTCTCTTACTTCGACGTCGAACTGCTACATTCGTGACGTTGTGTCCATCCTCAATCAAGTCATCAGTGCCTCCTTCCACATTCACCTCGTCCACTGCTCTCATGTCCTCACATCGACTACCAGCTGCGGCCACAACTCGCCGACCTGCGCCTCTTCCCCCTCGTCGTGGAGACGAACGTCTTGTATTCACACCCGATGGACCTATCAATTAATAAATCATAATAACATCACCATACATAACAATCTCATTAGCATCATCACTAAATGTTATTCACTACTGCTAAATAACATTCATAATAAATATATTACAATTAATATAATGAACATACACCTGAGCTATCACCATCTTACTCGTACTCTACTACTCATTCAATAATACTAACAATTCCCCAAGTAAGCAAGTAACCCGATACCCAAGTAAGTAAGTAAGGATAAAAGTATCGAGTTTAATAATAGTGCCAGTACTAATCACAATAATAATAATAAAATAATAATCACCTGGTTGCTGTTCATCATTTTCGGCAGCAGCAGACTGCTTCCAAGACAATTTCTTCGGTTTAATGAGTTGTGACAATTGGATGTTATCATCGAAATCGGTTCTATCCACATCAATGTCCACATCCACACCATCTTTTGATCGTTTTGAAGGCCTTCTACCCCCTCGAGCACCTCCCCTAGTCGATACCTGTATTGCTATTGATATTATTATTGGTAATCCTGCAGTACAGCTCAAGGAGAAAGGTAGTGTGCCTGACACACATGAAGAACATTGATCTGCTGATCGGTTGGTTGATCGTGGGCTGGTTGATTTTGATCAGTTGATGAAGGTTTAGTTGACCAGTTGATCTGGATGAGAGTTGATCTCGAGCACGCAGAATAATTTCGATAGAAATGAATTAATAACCATGCTCACGGCTACCCGTGATTCACACAATCAATGCGTACAATTCCACCAAGCCCATTCACCACCCAATCCCCAACCAACCGCACCCAACTGAACCAAACCACTCGAATGATTTCCATTCCATTCTCGTGCCGTCTTTAATTCGCTCGCCTCACACGAGCGAACGTACGAGCGCGCGCGTATTGGCGCCAAACTCTTCCCTCGCAAACGATTTCTAATTTGATCAACTTATCGATCAACTCAAAAAAAACGATCAAAATGATCAACTCTACTCTCGCCAGATGATCAACTAAACCTTGATCAACTGATCAACATGGCTCACAATCAGCACATCACAATATTCTCCACGTGCGTTAGGCCACACTCCCTTTCTCCTTGATCTAAACTGCACGATTACCTTATTATTATTATTGCTATTAATACTATTAATATAAACCAACCTTCACCCTGGAACGCTTCTGCAATGACGACGCGTTACTGCTCAATCGATCGCTAACTACACCCTTATCCGACCCTATATCCTCATCTGCCGACGTGCCTGCTATAATACTATTACATTACTTTTACTGTCTCTTATTACTATTAATCAAATATTGTTATTTACTGCTATTATCACTGTACAAAGCACTCAGCAAATGAACAAAAAGCTAACCCTTAATACTGCTCGTTACCGATGCTATTTTTCTCGATTTCATCCCGTATCCAGTATTTGCCGATGAGACGTTCTCTCCTTTTACTATCAACGATTTACCAGATGCCACATTATTATTATTATTATTGATAATATTATTAGTTTTATTATTGGACGCTAGCCATGCTGCCGTCATACTGTTGTTGCTATTGTTGCCTTTCGTGCAGTTGGCCCTCTCTGGAGGTCGTCTTCCGGGCGGGTCAATAGGCAAACCCAAATGAACAGTCTCACAATGGACACGCATCGGGCCGTGGGCGGCGAACGTGCGGTCGCACTGAAATAACCATAAACAATAACTGTGAAAATGACAAAACATGACAAAATGAATTGACTGACAAAATGAATTGACCGACAAAATGAATTGACAACGAATGACAAAACAATTGAAATAATGACAAAATAGAACAAAACGCACGTAATGACAGAAGAACATCATCGGATGTTTGATCTTCTCGTGAATAATCATGAACTTAGCATCTGTCAATCGATCCTCACACAAATGACACTTCGCTTTGTATACCTCCAGTGTCGCCTCATCCACAAAACCCACCGCACTCTCCAGTGTGACCGTCCGCAGAAATTCAACATCCTTAACAATTACTTACAACTATTTTAATTACATTAATCACATTAATAATCACCTTCTGACGTTTCTTTTCCTTGGCCCGTTCAGCTCTTGCATTACGCCGTTCTTCAGATTTCTTTTCTTTTTCTAAGCGTTTTGCTTCTGCAATTCACATCATTTAATGTTATTTAGTGTGTTGCGGGCAATATTTACAACAATAATCACAATAATAATAATAATAATAATAATAATGACAATAATAATAATAATAATAACAATAATAATAAGTAACCCTCAGAAGTAGTCGGTATAATAGGTTCCAATTTCTCCTGATCAGCTTGATACTTCTGTAGCTCGGCCTCATAGAGCCTCTCCTGCTCGATCTGCTGTATTCTCTGCTTCATCTCTTCCAGGCCTCGAGCCTCATCACCCTCCATACGCGCCTTGTTCTTGCTGTTCGGATCCTTGAATCGACGACCCAACGTCCTGTCCACACCCTTGTCTGCGAACCACTCGTTCCATTGATCCAAACGCAGTGACTAGAATTTATTTATAATAAACAACAACTACAATAACAATAATAATAACAATAATAAAGCTACTCACCAAGTGGTGTCGAAGCGCGGCATGCGGATCAGTCTCTTCACAACCCTCTGGATAGGGCAAAAAAACGCACCGTTCAAATGAATAACGATAGATTCGTATGAATTTATCTAGCATCTCTTTTAGTTCATTATCCTAAAATATCATCATCACAATAACAGTAATAATAATAATAACAATAACAATAACAATAATAATAATAATAACAATAAAAGTAATACTAATACAAAAATATCTCTCACCCTCAATCCTTTGATTTGCGTCAGTAAAAGCTCGATCTGAGTGAAAATTTTCTTCTCAGTTTCTACAATGGCACCCATCGTCGCTGGATTAGCATCGTCCTGTACCGGTGTATCGCATGCATCGTAAATTGCATCCGAATAAATCTGTCCTTAATTTGACGTTTATCACAATTTGTTCGTCATTCCGCAATTCATTCCTCATATTAATCATGCCTTTCAACTACTGTTCCATTGCCCTACTCGTCTAGCTAACCACCAGGCGGTGGGATGGCTAAACACAACGCTAAAAGAGCGCGACGAACGGATTTAAAACTGACACTGCAGGACGAGCCACCATTGTGGTCAGCATCAGCATCAGCAAATTCAGTTCGATCACAGCTTGCTGGTCAATCCAATCCAGATTATATCCATGACAATATCAAATCAAACTGATCAACAAACAATCTCTCATCAAATTCTTACCAGTCGAAGATGCTTCTTGAATGTTTTGTTGTTGTGATGATTGTTTGTCTAATGCTTCTTGCACACCTCCTTCTATCATGTCAGCATTTCCCCCTTGTTGCTGCAGCTGTGAACCAGTCTCGAATTGCTCATCAGCAGGTTCATGCCCAAGTTCGGATTCAATGTCGAGGTCCGGCTGCTGCGGTGCCAATGCTAGATTTTCGAACGTTTCAAGCACAGTTGTTGAGGAGGAAGGCGGTGATGCTGACGACCGTTGCTGTAGTTGCTGTGGCTGTAGCTGTAGCTGTGGCTGTGGCTGCTGCTGTGGCTGTGGCGACGGTGGTCGAACCGACCGATCCAGTACCACTATTGTTTCACCCATCCTGCAATATTATACACATCTATCACCACTTTACAATCACCGCAACACAAAAAAATCACCACAACACCGTCACTCGAAACGTCCTAACTACCGCTCAACTCAGCACGGCCAATCCCCCCCCCCCCCCCNCCCCCCCCCCCCGTGCATCATCCAAAACGTCGTCGTCCTTCAATAAATCCAATCTCCATCACCAATAAATCACCATCTCTAACAAAATCCGACAAAAAAGACGCCAATTCATTAATGATTAGTGTAACAAAACTTGAAAATGCTCAGTGGCTGCTGTGCTCTGAGCCGCGGTGGACGTTACGCCAAACTGAATTCGTAACCAATCGCCAAAATCGTTGTGTACATAACAGCCAAAATAGATATTTGAAGTGCCAAATCGCCAAAACGGATCAAACTCAAATTCAATCAAGACAATAATAATGTTCAGTACCAGTACTTATATAATTTTTATATTAATATCACATTAATTATCACTATAATTACTAATTATCATAACTATCATTATCATTACTTATTAAAACTATCACCATTGCTATTCCTCTCATGTCTCTAATTCTTATTATTTATCACTAATATCATCACCTCACCTGTCTCCTTTTCCAACAAATCATTCAGCTAAGTCACACCGAGAATATGCCTGCACCTGAGCCTGTCAACCCGATGATCACTGATCCAAGCTATAATCTGATCAAGACCGATCGATCAATCGATTAATCAATCATTCCCAACACCTCAGCTGCGCGCAAACACCAGCAACACTGTCATATAACACTGTAATTGCTCATTAATAACAAATAAACCGCACCATACCAACTCCATCTCGAACCACCACACCCAAACGCCCTCAGCACCCTATTCATAACATCTAATCACCAACTTACATATATAATACTATTATTATTCCAAATGCATTCTCTTAACGTATACAACACATAATAACACTAACAATACAAAACAATTATGATTAAATAACAATATACTATCTAATAATAATAATAATAATAACAATAATAATAGCCATATACAGATAGATATGTACTCTTAAACGAATAACAATTGCATATTCAACACAAATTAACGAATCAAAGCGTCCAAAACTTAAATTTCAAAAACAATCACTATCAGAATATTCTATCTGCAATACGGTTAAGCTCTTAATCCAATTTAAAACAATATTATTGTACGTAATCTAATCATCAAGCCTTATCAAAACAATAATAATAATAATAATAAATAGTTATTTTATAAAATAAAACAAACAAGACCCACTCACCGTGCAACACATTTAATGATTAGATCACCACCATCCAACAATAGACATCCTAAAGCAATAATAAATATTTAACTAAATAAACACGATAAATACACACACATTTCAAATAATAATAAATATATATGCATATAATAATAAATAAACGATAAGCATAATAAAAGAGATCCATATTCAGTAAATATGATCCACTGCTTCAATTACCACTTACTAAGCAGTTATTATTATTATAACAACAACAATAACGATCACAATAAACAATCAATCATAATTACAATAATTAATAAATATTCCCCGCAGGTATCCATCATCGATAATCCGCTACACTCGCCGCATTGCAATGTTGCTCTGCGGATGCCGAGTAATCATTAGAGCCATCCGTCCCGCTATTATGCGTACGTTGGTGCTGTAAATTGAATCAAATATAACAAAATATAACAAAACAATAATAATAATGATAATAATAATAATAATAATAAATACTACCAAATCCCTATTGACATTCTCAGGCCCGATCAGAAGAGGGGGACTGTCCCTTCGGCAACACGTCACATCGGTACGTTTGCAGTTCTCTGGCAGACAAGCCAGTGCGCAATGCGATCCACTGTATCCCAACGTATCAGCCATCTGAACATACACACTTCAAAATATAATTATAACAATAATAAGATTAATTGTAACAATGCCTTCAATTTACCTACACACACAGGTAACCTCAGATCATTATAATTATCACTAATTATCATTATCATTATCACTACTTATCATTATCTTATCACTAGTTATCATTATCATTATCACTACTTATCATTATCTTATCACTAGTTATCATTATCATTATCACTACTTATCATTATCTTATCACTAGTTATCATTATCATTATCACTACTTATCATTATCTTA